AACGTCCACCATGCTAAGGCAGCGTCTGCCATAGTATGTAGGACGGAAGGCTTGGATATAGCCCCCCTGCAGGAACCTTGGCTTGTTTGTGGAAAAGTCGCGCAACAAAGTAAGCTGTTGTACAGTAAAGGAAATGGAAAAACTCCGCGCTTGTTTAATCTACAGCCACATGGTTAATTGTACACTAATACCGGTGCTTTGCATTGGCGATTTTGTTACAGCTATCCTATCAATCCAAACTGAAGGGGGAGAGAAGAGCTATGTTGTATGCTCCGCCTACTTCCCGGGAGAAGAGAAAAAATGCCACCAGCAATACTAGGCAGAATTACTGCCCATTGTGAGGAGCAGAAACTCAAGCTCATAATAGGATGCGACGCGAATGCACATCACATTAACTGGGGAAGCACCAACATCAATTCAAGAGGTGAGTCACTATTAGAGGGTTAGAAATTGCCAATAAAGGCAACAAACCAACTTTTGTCACTGCCAACCGAAAATATGTTCTAGATATGACAATATGTTCGAGAGGCACAAATAACCAAATTAGGAACTGGCATGTGTCCGATGAACCATCGTGTTCAGATCACAGACATCCGATTCCATATACAATGTCCAACTCGTACAGCAGACAGGTTTAGAAACCCGAGAGAGACGAATTGGGAAGGGTACATAAAATCCCTCGAGGAGTCTCTCAAGGAGGAAACCACCAATGTACGAGAAACAAAAACACTCGAAAAGACTGTGTACTTGGTGAACAAGGCAATTACCGATGCCTACCAAGAAAACTCCTGAAAAAGAGATACCAAACGAGAAAGACAGTCTGGAGGAAAAAACACCTAGATAGCCTGAGAGGTAAGGTAAGGCTATTCAACAGAGCCAGATCCACACAAGACTGGACTCCTTATAAACATAAGCTCACAGAGTATAACAAAGAAGTACACAAGGCTAAAAGAAACTTATGGAGGAAGTTCTGTGAAGAGGTCTCAGAGACCACCGCCAGCGCTAGAATCCCTAGAGTTATAGCCAAAGACAGTACATCTAGTCAAGTCGGATTCCTCAAAAAAGAGGATAATACCTACACCACGACACTAGAGGAAAGTCTAGAGACACTAACTCAGGTGCACTTGCCAGCCTCAACTATCCTAACAGGTCTAGATTCAGGAGACCAAGGGAGCTACAGTCAAAAGGGGATCAGATCTACTCCAATAGACTGGAAGCTGGCCTCCGAGATCACAAGACCTTACTGGATTAGTTGGGCTACCAACAAATTCAAGGAATACAAATCCCGGGGCCAGATCAATATATCCAATTCTGCTACAGAAGGGTAAAGATTTGTTAATGCCAGATTTATGCAAAAGCTTTAGAACGTGCATTACCTGGAGATATATCCCAGAATTATGGCAAAAGGCGAAAGTAATCTACCTTGCCAAAGTAGGAAGGGTCACAGACCACACTCAAAGTCATATCGTCCCATAAGCCTATCCTCTTTCCTACTTAAAACTCGAGAAAGATTGATAGACGGGTATATCGGGGACAAGATACTAAAATTAAATCCGCTCCATCCCAACCAATATGCATACCAGCCAGGAAAGTCAACTGACCTAGCGCTGGATGATCTAAGCAGGCTGCTTTCAAAATCAATAGATGACAAAGAAATCGCAATAGCCACTTTTCAGATATCAAAGGAGCTTTCAACAATGCCTCAACCAGATCAATAACGAATGCTCTAGAATGAAAGCGTCCCAATTACAATATGCAAATGGATCACTGCCAGTCTAGAGAGCAGGATCATTTTATCCACTCTACGAAAGGCAACCGTACAGGCAAAAGTTACATGGGGTTGTCCACAAGGAGGAATATTATCTCCAATTCTGACGACCTAGCAATTATCGTCAGGGGGCGATTTGCAGACACAGTCTCGGAGCGATCTCAGACAGCTCGAAACTTAGTGAACAACTGGTGCTAAAAGAAGCAATTGTTCATTAACGCACAAAAACACCATAGTTATCCCATTTGTTACAGAAGCCAAATGCTTCGGAGTCATATTTGACCAAAGGCTGACGTGGAATCAACATCTCAAAAAACTCACATACAAACTCTCGTAAGCTGTAGAAGAATATGTGGGAAAAACTGGGGTCTAAGCCCCAAAATGACCATATGGTTATACCCAAGGGTGATAAGACCCATGATAACCTATGGCGCAGTGGCGTGGGTAACCAAAACGGCGCAGGCAAGTACAATAGGCCATCTCACTGGCATTCAGCGGCTCGCCTGTCTAAGTGCTACTGGGGCCATGCGCACTATGCCAACTGCAGCAATGGAGGTATTATTAAACCTCACGCCACTGCACATCTTCATACAAGAAGAAACCAGGTCAGCTATTCACAGGCTAATGCAGGGACAAAACCCAATAAGTCAACTACATAACGCCGACCACACTATATCGGAAAATAAAAAGGGGATAATATGCTAGGTATGCCTACTGATACAACCATAACCACATACAAATTTGAAAGAAATTTTCAAATTTAAATACCAACCGGAGAATTCTGGAAACAGGGACCTCCCGTACAGGCTGAACTCGTCTGGTACACAGACGGTTCAAAAACCAAGGAAGGAGCCGGTGCTGGAATCTATGGACCCAAGTCGAAAACAACAATTTCGCTGAGTCTAGGAAAATATGCAACTGTTCCAGGCTGAACTAATAGCCATACAACACTGTGCAAGAGAAATACTAAATCAGCAAGTGTTGGGCAAAACTATTGCCATATACTCTGATAGCCAAGCAGCTCTAAAGGCAATTCTCTCACCAGAAATCAAATCACGACTGGTGAAAGACTGTCTAGAAGACCTGGCAGAGCTAGTAGTCAACACAAGGTGGCCCTAGCCTGGGTGCCAGGCCATGAGGGATATCATGGCAACGAATTAGCCCGAGAAGGCTCAGATAAGGCCATGACAGGCCCCGAACCCTTCTGTGGAGTTGCTAAGGCATTGTGCAAGGAATCCATTAAATAATGGAAGCAAAGAAAGTCTCAGGAATGGTAGAACAACTATCCAAGACTCAGACAGGCCAAACAGTTCATCAAGGAACCATCGGCCAAGTTCACGAAAGACCTACTGGATTCAAAAGCGTCAAATCGTTAGGATAACAGTAGGTTTTCTTACTGCACACTGTCGTCTTAGAAGGCACACGAGTGTCATCAATCCAGCAGAAGAAGTAACTTTGTGCAGGTTCTGTGAAGAAGAAGAAGAGGAAACATCGGTTCACGTCTTGTGCCAATGTGAAGGCCTGGCTAGAATGAGATTTCTAACATTAGGCGAAGATAAGCCAAACGCATGCAACTACACGCGGGAGCCATTGTTAAAGCTACTAAGTCTGATAAAAAAGACCAAGTTAGACGACGTACTCTAAAACAAACAAAGTCCCACAATAGATCTGAAGAGGTCGCGGTGCACAAGGACAAACAACGTCCAACTCTGTATAATCTAATCTTAATGCTAATTTTACAGAAAATATTCGCCGAAAAAATGGTTATAATTTTATTGTATTGTCTAAAAATATTTGAGTTTGAAACCTACATATTTAATATAAGGATACTATAAATTTGCTTCAATTTCATTAAGGAAATTGAGAAATTCCTTCAGCCATCGTTTCTTGTAGATTTTATATTCTTCGTGGTATCCAATATTAATGAAATCAAGTATTTTCAAAGCATCGTCATTTTCCATTATTTCCATTTTGTATATTGCAATTATTAATAAAGGTGTATTAGTTCTTATAATAGAGACCGATTTGTATAACTAGTGCTAATAGATCAATGACACAATGATAGTCAAAATCTTTCAAAATTATAAAAATTAAACATTTTAAAATTAAGTAATGGTTTAAGCTAAAAAAATTCTGGGCTTAGTAAAGTGATTCTTAACGCCTTGATAAGTAGAACTTTAATAACGGTGCTAACGGTTATTCCTTAAGGGTCACTTAGATGCTAAGTAAAAGCTGTGCGCGTGGCCCTAAGTATCAGCCTCTGAAATTTTTTGTATCATGGGTTTGTATCTGTGATAAAAATATAGGAGAAGATAGATATCCTTTCGCTCTCTAAGCCACGAAAGTTGAAAGCAAATTGGCACTGTACGTTATTTACCAAGAATGAAATTTAAAATTTTATACTATATAAAATGGGATGCCAGTTATGGAATAAAATAATTTAGAAAATGTGAAAAATGCTCGGATAGGTTAATTTTTGTTTTGATGAAGCACATTTTTGTAATAAAAATCCCAGATTTCAATCTCTGTCCTTGTTAGCTATCCCCTTAAATATTTTAAATAGCAACAGAGCAATAGCTTATTTGCAAAGGTTTTTAATTCTCTATTCGATAGTACAATAATTTCTATTTTTTTCCCAGGGGTATCTTAGAATTTAAATATAACATATTTCAATAAAATTTGTGGGGTATTAACTAGTTCAAAATAACGAATATTTGAAATATTTAAATCCATTTTGGTATATCACCAGATAAAAATAAAAATTATTGATAAATAGAATCAAAAACTCTTTCCAATGATCTAGAAATTGGCCCCTATTGTTTATTAAAATATTCAAGGGTGTATTATGCCTGGCAGGTGTAATTTGTCTGAGATGTAAGTTCATCCTGACAAGCTACCAAAACGCTTTATAATAAAAAAATATAATAATAATAATAATAATCTCCCTAATTCACCCCCTTACGAGTGAATTGTAACCCCAAAAGCTGAGCTTGTCCGGGGAAAGGGACGGCTATTATCATTTGCCGTGGCGCTCCGGGGCGACTTAAAGATGATTGATGGTGCCATTTGACTTACAGGTGAGGAAAACCCCACCGACCATCATAATATAAAATGCAATTTTTGACGTTATTTTACATAGAGAAGAAAATGAAAGCTGCTGAATATATGTAAAGAAATAGGATGTTTTTTTTATTAATAGACTTTATGCTTTTGTATTAAAATATTTTTTTAGGTCATTAAAGTTCTCACAAAGATGAAAGGTATGAAGAAGGCCAAACATCACCAATGTAACACTTGCGGTAAGGTATTTAGAACAAAACCAGGATTAGTTCATCATATTAGGATTCACACAGGAGAACGTCCATATATTTGTCATCTTTGTGAAAAGAGGTTTATCAATGGTGGTCATCTTCATACTCATATGAGGACACATACAGGCGAAAAGAATCATGTTTGTGCTGCTTGTAGTAAAGCTTTTGCTACTGCTCAGCAATTAACAAAGCATACTATAGCAATTCACACATCTGAAAGGCCTTATGGATGTACTTATTGTCCTAAAAGGTAATCATACTTCAGGCTTTTGAAAGTTCTAAACTAGGACAATTCCCTGACAATTTAACAATATGACTGTAGAGATATCCATTTATCTCAACACATAGCTACATGTCAAAACTAAAAAAATGAATTTTTGAACCAAATAAAGCAAATACGAGTATCTCTTTAAAGCAAATTATCCGCAATTAAATGATGCCTTCTTTTCAATGACATTTTTCCGTTTTAGATTTGCAAGTTCAAGTAATCTGAACACTCATACAAAAATACATACTGGAGAGAAGAATTACCATTGTGATCAGTGTGGGAAAGCATTTTCCACAAAAGGACAACTCTACCAACATATGCTAGTACATACAGGAGAGAAAGCTTACTTATGTGAAATATGCAATAAAAGGTTTTCACAAAAAGCACACCTGGTTAGACATTTAAAGACACATAGGGTATAAAAAATTGTGAAAGAATTTTATATTTTCGATTTAAAATGCAGCTCATATTTCATTATTAGCTTTAGAGTGTGTCCCAAATTTTTAATCCTGACATCTAATGAATAAGAATACCTATAGGTTTTAAAAAGAGAAGATTAAGTCTGATAGAATTAATGACACTGAAAATTTGAGTATATTTTAATGTACTTGAAAATTTTTATTGAGCGTAAAATAAAAAATTTAAAAGTTGGATTTAAAAAAATCACTAATCCACAAATATTTTTAAGAGAGTCTAATACTTTTTAAGATTTTTTTTTATTTTTTGTAAAAATAAGGCACAGGGAATATTTTAAGGCTAACATACATATTTCTAAGTCTTAACAATCTTCACTCCTTATTAAATGATTGATCAAAGTTTGCCATCGATTAATATTTTGGGACTATAGAAAAATCTATTGTTTAATATTTTTTATAACGAAAAACAAATTGATCTCAGATTTTTAAAAAGTAGCCCTAGAATTTAAAATTATAGAGTAATTTTTTATTTTCATTAAGGTACTATACCCCAGCGCAATTTAAAATTGTACTACAACCTATTAGCGAGACTTCGGGTATGAACCCTTTTCTATATGCCAATGCCAAATATATTCAGTCTTGATCTAACCGCGGTAGATGCAATGGCAATAGACTTGGATCGTTTATGTCATACCCCGCCATAATACACCATCGTATCTGATCGCGTCTTCGAGCATATATATTTCATAGAGTCCGCATTCAATAGGGTTTGTTTACGTTATGAGGGGAAACGTCTAGACACTATTACCAGTGTCGCATCATTTTTACGGGGTTTGCAATAAATATAAATAATAAATTTGATACATTGGGTCCGATTACAATTAGAAGAACACAGCTTCGTCATCATTTGACAAAGTAATTAATTGGTGTTTGCCGCCTATTGGGGGTTTAGTGGAGTGTTAATATTATAGGAATGTAGGAAATATTGTTTTATACCTAACAACTTACTTATTTTTTATTAATTGATTGTTATAGATAATGTTTATTCGAAATTCGAAGTAATGGTTATGACGTAGCGGTATTCCTTTAATTGTAATCGATCCCTAACTTCAAAATTCTTTAAATTATACACATATTTTATAAACTTGCATTATTTAAGTAGGTACCTATCTAGTAATAGTAAATTATTATTATTAATATTATTATTATTTGTGTTGGAAACATTAGATTTTTTTTAATTGAAACATCAGAAAGTGTATAACAGAAAAATGAAGGTTGAAATAATAGGCAATAAAAAAGACAAAAAGCTTATACAGTGTGTCTACTTAAGTTGGAACCATATGAAAAACATTTTTATTATTGATTTTAGGAAACAAAGTTATTCTTGATAAAAAGTCCTGCATGACCCAAAACCTAAAATACAGTCATCACATCAAATTTTTCAAGCCGTATACGAGGTTTGTCAAAAAATATGAATTTTGCTCAAGATTAAAGTACGTTTATTTTTGACAAAATCGAAAATTTTCATTAAGAAAAGTTGATTAGAATTGAATATTACATTCAAATATGCAATTACACCGATCTATCTGAAAAAACAGATTTTCTTATTTTTTTATAAACTCTACACATTGATTGTAAATATCTGAAAACGTTATAAATTACGTTAGCTACTATAAACATGATACGCTTTCCTTTTGTTGATGTTTGTGAAGAATTTAGCAAATTTCTTAATGAAAATTTTCGATTTTGTAAAAAAATAAACGTACTTTACTCTTGAGCAAAATTCATATTTTTTGACAAACCTCGTATACGGCTTGAAAAATTTGATATCGGATGACTGTATTTTAAGTTTTGGGTCATGCAGGACTTTTTATCAAGAATAACTTTTTTTCCTAAAATCAATAATAAAAATGTTTTTCATATGGTTCCAACTTAAGTAGACTCACTGTATTTAAAAATAAAAAATATAAATAAATAGTAGGTATATTATACAAATATTTATGATACCTCTTAACACATGTGTACGAGAATTACAATACAAGAACTTTTTTCCAATAATTTATTAAATATAAAAATATTGTTCATAACTAATGTTCAATAGATTACTAAACGATATACTACAAATAGAAATCAAGTTAATACTTAGGTACTGAGGTACATTTACACTGCTAGTGGTTAACAAATAGTGACGCTTTATTTTTATTGGAAAACTGTCTTAAGATTCGAATATTTCTTGATGACTAAGAGTGCAAATAAAAGAAGCTTGAATATTGAAACACTCACATTAGGCTTTGCTTATTTCTTAACGACTAGTAGTCTTTCTAATTAAAGAACATAGGTACATTTAATAAAAAATAATTATTGTCATGTTTTGTGGTAATTATTTTAAAATAAAATTTATGTTGTATTAAAAAGTACTTAGTTACTGTTTTCTAATTCTGCATTTTCTTTTCCTGCAACAGAGGCTTCATAGTTCAAATCATCACTGAAAAATAAAAAAATTTGAATGATTAACTCACAAGAAAAGTGCAGGGTTCTTTACCTTTAAGATTTACCTTCTTCTGGGACCTCAGTAAATGCTGATGGCAATGCACCTGGAATTAATCTAGTTCTTTCTCCGCATCCAGTCTTTGACATAAATATATATCCAGAAAAATGATTGGAACATAAAACATCACTATTTGAAATGTTTTCTAAAGTAAATTTTAATATGTTTCACCAAATGCGTTTTTTCGGCAGGATTAACGGGAAACCTGCAAAAAACAAAAAATATTGATTTACCATCTTCAACATTATGATAAAATGACTAAAAAACAAAAAATATTGAAAAATTATGATTTTTTTTTACTTTTCAGTAGAGTCCAAAATCAAAAACAATATTCCTCATACATAAAACAAGTTTTTTAAATTTAATTCACTAAATTTACCATTTATTTTAAATTCATGTTTAACGGCCTTTTGCATAAAATGTAGATACAATGTTTCTTTTAAAAAAATGGTAGAGACGCTAATGGTTACTTACTTGTGAAATGTCTTTGACGATGCCTTTTCTTATTTCTATTTACAACTTACACAAACTCTCACCATTGTTAAAATTTTTATCAGTAAAGTAATAAAATACAAAAAATCACTTATAAACTACAAAAATAAGCTAGAAATTAATTAAAATCAAATGACAGTTCTGACAATTTCGAACAATTTGACATGCCAAGTAAAACGAAACAGACCAATGGGAATGCTGGACACTATTTTCCCCCCTGTACCAAAACAAAGTCCATTTGGATGATGGCTCTAGTAATATATGCTCGAAGGATCGCGTACGTATGACCAAACTGGCTAACAATGAAATACTCGAAAAATGAAACAGTCAGTAGCTAGACAATGTTACATATGTGTATGTGATAGAAAATCATTAGTTGTGTTGCCAGCAAAAAATGTTTGAAGAAAGTATAAGTAAGTTATCTAAATCATTTTTGGCAAACCAGGGCCACTCCACACAATGTTTAATCAAATTTGGCGAGCCCTGCGATATCGAAATTGTTTTTCTTGGTATTATTCTCCCATTTTACTATCATACCACTTATGTTTCACTATATAACCATACTAACGCCAGGTTAAATAATTATGATGCCTAATTTAGAAAGAAAATTTCATGACGTATATTATTCAGAATCGATTGAAGTAATAAATACCCATTATGTTAGCAAATCGTAGTATCTGAACACAGCCTTTGTAAGTACTGTCTTAAAAAATGAAATCATCCTATTATTTGAGTAATAATAATAATAATGTTGCGTTTGTTTATTTTAAACAACATTTATTTGTTAATAATTTATTTGAACACTTATTTATTTTAAAACAATAATATTCTAATTTATATATATTTCGTATGTCTTTAAATTGTTCACTATTTATCTTCACAACTCTTTGAATACGACTGACTGCTCCATGTTCCTTCACCAATATTTATATACACATTGAAAATTCTGGTGATGCTCTAGAATGCTCTCGCCAAAACTAGAAACATTATCACGTTCGTTCTGGAAAACAATCAAAAGCGCCTGCGCCATAGTCGTCACATATGTTTGGTCTCAAGGGGTTTAAATGTATGTTAATCCGACAAGTTAAGCCTCGAAGGCCAAATAAGACAGAAGGACTTGGAGAATTAGAGCATGACTGAATAATGAAATGGCTCGCGTTACAATAATGAAAATAATCTAAATTTTAGGTTTTATATATATATTTATATCAGTATTCATTATTTTCGTTACCAGACTCATTTACCCTCGATATTGAAGACACTACTTATAGAATATATTTATATTTCAAGCTATGGCTTTTCACTGTCCAGAAATGCAATTTCACCTCGTGGTTAACCCTTAGATTTCAAGGATTTCTTTATTACTATACCCCATATAATAATTTTTGTTTACCCTTCAGATCCCACTTCTGTCAACCTAGCCCCTCTCCAGGATCTATGTAGCTAGCAGAACTGCAGTTTTCGAATACATTGGTAAATTTAATGAGTAAGTTATGCCTTCATCGTAAACAATAATGGTGTATATTTAAATATACAAATTAGGTACTTGTCTTTATATCGATTCTTAATTCTAACTTTTAGTTTAATTTAATTCCCTATATTTTACGTAATTGTCTATTAAATTTTAAACTATCAACAATATCAGTACCAGTGGCAGTTTGCCAGTAAGGGCACTTGGGCACGTGCCCTAGTATAATAAACAAAAAAAAATAACACATTTTATATTTTCCTCAATGCCTATTATTATTATTATTATTATTATTATTTTATCTAATATTCAGCGCAATCCACGTTGGCACGACACTAGACGACCGGGCGTTGAGCGATGTTCCGAAGATGGGCACAGTAAATGTGTGCCTCTGTTGTTTTCTCTCTCATTATGATGCGAAACACAAGGACAACGACAATATCGCTTAGCAAGAGATGAACACATGCTATGGATTATACGTCACAAGCAGGGCGCTGTCCCAAATTAACCTACACCAGATACGAATGTACGCGGCGGCAATAGCCTAGAGCTCCCACCACTTTCTTCCTGGATCCAGCAGAAGAAATAGTACGGACGATTGCGTTGGCTCCAGTTTCAGCAGATCTTGCGACCGTTGAACGTTTAGTCCGACCGCCTAGGTTACAAAACATCGCCGAACTTGTGAATTTGTGAAATTTATTATGACGGGATATACATTTGTAGATGTTGTACATCTGAAAATAGAGATGGGACAAAATTTTAATTTTTCTTTTGGTTTTGTCTGACTTTTTCGAGGATTTCAAATCTCTGTTTGCATATTTAAGAGTATAAAATAAATAATAGGATAAATAATTTAACGGTGTACATTTTCGCAAATTGTTGGCAAGGATGACCAAATTCTATTTTGCTCATCTCAAAAAGGTATGCGTTGGAAATTCCAGGCTTAGTTGACAAACTATCAAATAGAGATATAAATATTTTCTTATTTGAAAATATAAAAGAGAAATTTTTCGCTGGGAGATTTTAAATTGCTAAACATCTTTTCTTCAGAGTCGTATGCTTTAAAATGCGTTAACAAGTTAGAATTTTTAAGTAAATTGCATTCTTCTGAGAAATTACGCAAATTTCGCAAGAGTGGATATGTAATGATTTTTTGATTAAATAGTCACATTCAGAAATCGTTATTGCCCCAACTGATTGTTTTGAAATATATTTAATTTTCATTAAGCGGAGAACTTGTTTACCTAAGGGAAAAACGAATCCCGGGATTTCTTTCCAGTGTGTGCCCCACTGCCACTAGTGCCCACTAGCCGCCACTGATCAGTACTACTAAAAGATATGTATTTCTCAAACTACTATGGTTCTAAATAATTTTATTACTTCACGGTCATCTTAATAATTAAACTTAAGCTACTTTTTTCTTGTTTCTAACATTAATACTGTTTTTAAAAAGTAGAACTAGTACAATTTGGAAAAGAATTGTAACTGTGGCACAGTTGTATTAATGAAAAAGAGCGTAGAAATAGGTATTAGAATGTGAATTTTTATTTAGTTTGTGTAAAACTGGCTGTTATTGCATTCCAATATACACGTGTGCACTTTTTTTATGAATACAACTATACAGGTTTTTTTTTTTTTATTTTTGAACACTTAACCATCTTAATATTTACTATCATTTATTTAAAAGTTGCCCAATTTACTCCCTGTCCTTTTATACCTGTTATTTTTTTTAATAATGCATCTCAACATTTTTTTATAAAAGGTATTAATATGTAATTTATTGTATATTTATTTAATAAAGTCTACTTTAAGACAGCCTTATTATTTCGTTATAAGCCATAATGAAAATATCAAACATTACCTACTTAGTAATTGTTTGTTTCTGGGCTGTTATGACTTGGTCTTCTTAGTTATTACTACCAAACGTTTCAGCTGCAACTGCGGCAGACATCTTCAGTGGCGTGGACGAAGTACTTTTCTCGACGTATCAACTGAAACTGAATCCTCCTTTGCTCCGAGTGTGGTATTCATATGCGCGTCTGTGCGCTCTTTTTTGGCGGTACTAGTATTAGACGGTTTTATTTTCGCGCTTTTTAATGATGTGTGCCAGATTCTAGGTAATGTTGTTTTTCTTCCATTCTGTTGAAGTTCTTTTCATGTTTGTGTATTTATATAGCCTCCAAGTCGGTGTTTTCGAAAAGGATATTGTGTTCTCCATCGGATAATGTGTTCGGTGACTGCACACTTTTCGGTTTGTCCTAAATGATAACTTCGTTTGTGTTCTGTTAGTCGTGTACCAATGCGTCTCTTTTTTTTGTCCTATGTATACTTTTCCACAAATGTATGGAATTCTGTAGACTCCTGCTGATGTGGGGGGGTCTCTGCGGTCTTTTGCTGTTTTAAGGAATCCTCCTAGTTTTTTTATTAGTTTGTAGAAAGTGCCGATTTTCTTTTTCTTCATAATTTTGTCAATTGGTCGGTGACACCTTCTACGTACGATAGATAGACAGTTCCTTGGTTTTGTTCTTCACTAGACTTGGTCTTATTCTCTCTTGGGCGCGTAGCATGGTTCATGTCTTTGTTGCTGTATGCGTTTGCTTGTAACACTGTTTTTAATTTCATCGTTGATATGTCTTAGTTTACATATCCTTAACGCTCTGTTTACTAAGGTGTTGATGACTGTGCAATTCTGTTTTGGATGATGGATCCATATTGTAGGTATCTATCAGTGCATCTTCTTTCTGTATACTCTGTGGCCTTCTCGGCTGACTAACATCTAGGAAAGGAGTTTGTCGGTTTTCCATGGTGAACTGGACCTTGGAATGAAAACTGTTTAGATGGTTTAGAAAATTCTCCCGTGGCTCCAGATTACAATTGTGTCATCTACATACCTCAGCCAATGGTTTAGAAAATTCTGGAGTCTTTTCTCCCGTGGCTCCAGATTACAATTGTGTCATCTACATACCTCAGCCAATGCTTTGGTTGTTTTTCAGCAGTGCTAATAGCCCTCTCTTCAAATTTTTCCATGTAAAAATTGGCCACAACTGGGCTGAGTGGACTGCTCATGGCGTCTCCGTCAATTTAAAATGTGTGATTCAACTGGAAATATGATGTGCGCGAATGCCGGAAAATATTGATTAGCTCTGGACAAAACTCCCCTATGTAGCTGACTACTGGAGCCAATCAGGCGAATAGGGTGGATGTTCAATGACTGTAAAAATTTAACTGTCTAATGTGCACTGTGTAATGATACATTGTCGTGATGCAACATTAACCCACGGATATTGACTGACACAAGAACTACAGGTAAACATGTTGTGGTGTACCAGTTTGCTGTAACTGTACATTGATCTTCTGGCTTAATTGCTTTTACTAATCCTGTACTACGAATGAAAACTGCGTACAACATAACTTTCTTGACAGCCCTTTGCTTTTTCGCCATTGTTGATAGTGCATCTTCATAAATCCACACACGGCTCTCCTGGCGAGTAGGAATATCATAAAATGGTATGTGTTTTTCATCACCTGTTACTATTTTAGAAAGAATACGATGTCCACCATTATTTAACATTTCTAATGTTTCCCGCGCGATTCTTACTCGCTCTGCCTTCTGAAAATCATTAAGCGTATGTGGCACCCAACGAGTAACAATTTTTTTTCATATGAAGACGATAATGTAAAATTGAATTTACTGTTGCGGTTCAAACACCAAGAGTTTCCTCAATTGCTTGATAGGTGCATCTTGGATCTTCTTCAATCATACGTCTCACTCTGTCAATGTTTCCTACAGTAACTGAAGAACAGAGCCTACCAGTACGTGCCTCATCACCAAGCGATATCCGTCTTCTTTTAAATTCTCTATACCAGCGAAACACAGTTGCCCGTGAAGGACTTTCATCACCAACTGCACGTTGCAACCGTTCAAGATTTTGTTGTTCACTTATACCGATCTTGAAATCGTAGTAAATCATAGCGCGCACATGTTCTCTTGACAAATCCATGTTTATATGACGATTCGTATGTACCACGTTTACTATGTTACAGCAGCGCCTCGACTGATATCAGAGCTTGCTAATAGACCTTTTCATCACAATTTTTTTTTGTGCGCATGCGTCAGTTTCAGCCATCTTTTTCGTACTGTTTTTGTAAACAAGTATGTTAAAATGCTTACGTGAAAAAAATTATAATTGATAAATATTAATTTAAGTCTATATTCATTTAAAAAAAGGAAGAAAAAAGTAAAGTAATAATAAGTTTAGTGTCTTAATTGAAAAATACATTTTCACAATCAATTATAATTATGTTATCTGTACGGAAAGGAACAACGAAACAGTGTTGTTATGTAAAAGTGACACACGGTATAAATCATTCAAAGGCAATAGATATTATTTTATAAATTTTCCAAAGCCTTAACTGCAATATCGTAAACAATTATCAGGCAAAATCCATATCAAAAGATATTTGAAATGTGCATTAAGTGTGAAAAAATATGGTCGAAGTGACAACAGTTTTCGATGGATTAATGATGTTACTAAAGATACTTATATTTAACTGCATTTTCATGGAGAAAGTGGTCCAACAGAAGAAAATTCACACCTGGTATTAAACAATATTTTTTTAATATTAAATACTACTTCGGTATACACATTAAATGATTAAAAATGTCATGTTGATCCTCAAAATAATAAATAATTTATTTTATTAATTATACTCGTGATTAACTTTCATGCTAATTAAAGTGTTTTTGCAAGTAGTAATAGTTGGTTGGCATAATTAATTGGAATAAAGTTATAATTATTATTTGTTTTTCATTAATTTTTTACAGAGTTAAAAAGTATTGATACACCTAACCTCTCAATTAGTCCACTTTGTTCCTTTGTAACAAACATCCAAGACACTTCAACCTCCTTTTCAACTGCTCACAACTATGCGCTTCCACAGAGTTATAAAAAAGTTATTCACTATCAACGATTTTTTCTAATGATTAATTTTTCTGTAGAGATAACATTGCTTTCCCAGCCATTGTCGATCAAAACAGTACGAAACTTTTGAATTACCGCTATTTCAACATGGTGGCTGCGCTTGCGCTCATCACATGATGAAAAGGTCTATTAAGGATGGCGGTATTTAAAAATGCAGCGTTGCCAGCTCTAACTTCTCTAATTTCGTACACTGATTTGTATTATTTTACTGGATAGGATATAGTCGCTTAAAAAGTGTTCCGAAAAATTGGCCGATAATATAACATAACCTCTATTTCCATTTGTCATTTAAATGTGTCAACAAATTACGATGAAGACGTGTTTTTATTGTGGAAAACGAAGTGAAAAGAGTATCATTACTCTTCCTAGGTAAAAAAACTATTATATTTATAATAATTTGTTAATAGCTCTAACTATTTTGTCGAAACAAACTGAAACTAATTTACACATTATTATACAAGAATACAAATAACAATATTCAAGGGGTGGGTGGCTCAGTGGTAGTCTCTGCCTGTGGATCCAAGGGTCCCAGGTTCGAATCCCACAGTTGGCCGGGATTTTTTTATTTAATTTAATTATTTAAAATTAATTCTGATGCCTTGGTAGGATTCCCCACTCGACCATTCACTTTTGGGTTCTAATTAACAGTGCTGTTCCTAAAGTGGCGCTTGGAAACAGTAACAAAGCCAACAGAAAACACGAGGCGAAATAACCCTGGTAGTTGAAGCAGGACACACAAAAAAAAATTTAAATTAACAAATTAAAGTGAATTAAAATGATTATTACTAAATTAAATAATGTTTTTGTTATTTAAGGTTTTCTACTGAATTGGAGCTCTAGGGGAAATGGATGAAGAGTATGGATATGAACAATATTAATGTAAGTGCAGCAATGTTCACCCAAAACTGATGAGGAATATTTCGAGGGAATGTTTCCCCAAAACTGATGGGAAATATTTCCAGGGCATATTCCCACTACCCAACTCTGATCTTGAAAGATTGTTTAACCAATTAGTTGAAAAAAGTTTTGATCGAAAACACTCTTCATAAGCACATGCAAGAAATGGTTGGTATTTTTGTTGAGTAACAATTATATATTGCTGAGTTCACAGTAAAATATATTAGTTTAGTCGGGTTTGGGTCTGAGGACTTTCCCGCAGAGTGAGGTCAAAGCTGAGTTTTTAGGCACTTCTGTATTAATCATGTAGAACTTACAGGATTAGAATTAATTTTCATATCTTATAGTAATGCATTTAAAAATATTTCTATATTTTTTACCTTAATAAAAATATTACAATATAAATGTTTATTTTTTTCACCTTTTCCAATGATTTCCTCTATTTCATTTAACGTATATATAAATCAATATTTGCATAATTATAAAAATTATGTAAAGCCTCTAAAAAATTTATTTTACTTATAATTGCATATTACATTCGAATAGTCTACACAAAAGTTAACAGTATTTTCCTCGAATCGTACGATTATAAAGATTGTTAAAAGTAATTTTTTTTAAACAATTTTTGAATGTATATATATATATATATATATATATATATATATATATTTATGAGCTGCACAAATTTCAATGTAAAAATGGTTAGAGAGACAACAAAAAGACCATGTATTAATCTGGAAGGGTTAGAAATGATAATTAAAATTTCAAACAGTGGTAATAATCGGTAAATTTTATTAGCTTTCCTAGACAAGTGTAGGTAATTTTAATATATTTTAACGTCCCTATTGTTAAAATTAACTTTGCAATTATAAACTGTCTACCTACATTATCTAGCAAAATTCTTAATATAAATCATGTGTCTGAAAACACCACTACCCAGACAACACACCAAATCCCAGAGATATCCACAGAATATCTTTTGTGGATATCCAATATGGATATAGAATTCAGATATTCAGCAAAATATTTTATAGGTATCTTTAGTAGAGGTTCATAAGTAACCAATGATTATTGAATAACGTCGAAAGAAAATAGAGATAAAAAATATTTCCAACAATCTGCCTTTTAGCGATGTGTCGTTCATGAACGACCCGTTCAAAAAGAACGAATCATCCCGAAGATCCGTGACTCTTCGTGACCCTATCGTTCATATGACCCTGTTTATTTATGAGATTTTTAATGTGCTTATGAATTAAAGAGCTGTTTTTCACCGAGTGATTGGTGACTGAACAGAATATAATGAATGACTGAAAATGTAATGCAGTGAACGATGATCGTGATGACGTGGTAGTGATTCGTGATCGCGATCGATTAAACACTGAAACGAGAAGGAAGTAAAAAGTACCAAGGCTTCATAATATAATATAGACATAATCATAAATCTTTATCCATCTATGTCTGTTACGAATTACGAATGTTCAACAATAAACTGAGATGAGACGAAACTGTGACCATTATGATCCGGTTCATAAAAAGAGCCGACAGAGTCTTAATATCAGCGCGTACTGTGCAAATCATAGGCGATGTATAAATTCTCA